GTAAGGAAAAAACACCCCTCTTTTTTAAAAAAAAAAAAAAAAAAAAAAAAAAAATTGCAGAAACTTCTAACAGTTGGCTGTTTTTGGTGAATAAAGGAAACGCCACAAAGTTGTCAAAACGCTGCCTGTCAGGGGCCCTTGCTTTCTGACAGCGCTGTGTGCACTGCCCCCGTAACACCCCAGCACCAGCAGGCTACAGCGTCGGTTCCTCTGCACCCGCAGGCCCTGCACACCAAGGTTCTGTGAGTATATGGGAGTGGGGAAAACGTTAAAATAAAGGGTGGGGGCTGAAGTTATTTGACTTCCTCAAACACACCAGAACGGGGCTTTTTTTTTTTTTTAATTTTTCCTGTTCCCACACCTGATCCTGCCTTTCACAGCAAAGACAGTAAGAAGTCTCAAAGATGCTTCAAGCCTGGTATAGTGTATTGTGCATTAGGCACTTTAGCCTTCTTGCAGCAGCAAATAACTTAGCGATGTGGTGAGTGGTGTATCTACCTTTACCCAGCTACATCAGGTACTTGCTTACCCCAGCGTCATCGGTATAAAACAGCTCAATTTCTGATGCAGTTACACGCATTCAACCAATAGCCCTCCCTGCTGCCATGCCAGGGAGCACATTAATGCCGTCATTCTCCAAAGCAGGGCAGCTTTTGAATCAGCACTGATGATATCAAGAGGTCAGTAAGGGCACCACAACACTGTTCGGCTTGAAAGGAATGACGGGTCCTGGTGAGGGGAATGATCACAGGAAATACGTGCCTTTTCCAGACAGCGTCTAGGTGGCAATAGCCTGCTCAGCCATCACACTAATTACACCAATACTCTCAGAAACATTATAAACTGACATATAAATACTTTTTCCTCCTCTAACATTGTAGCGCCATTTCTAATTAACCCTCCCCTTTCTGCCCCAACAATTTCAGTCTAGGGAAAAAAAAAAAAAAAAAAAGGCATATATGCAAGACACCTCCAGATTCTCAGCATCCATTTGAACTGGTTCACTACAGTTGCAAATACTATAAAGAACACTGCAGAGGCAAGGAATTACACTGTAGATTTTTTTTTTTTGCTCTTATAATGCAAGGTTTCAACAACGGGTTTATTATTTCCAGACAATTAATTTTGAAAGACAATATCTAAAATAAATTATCACAGGTCCTCTTCTCTTATTTTCTCAAATACACGGTCGTCTTCATTTGGCCTAACCAAAAATCTTTTCCTTGATATAAAACCCGAATGAACTACCTGCAGTGAAACAAATAAACAGTTAAAAGAGTATATGCATTTCAATAATTATAGACAGATACAAACAGAAGCTAGAAAATCTGACATGTTACTGCTCAGGTGCAGCGGTTGATCTCTTTATGTTGGCAGATTTCAGAGAACAGATTGGTTTTTTTGGTTTTTTTTTTTCCTGCTGGAATAGGACACAAGAATAGTTGTTTCTGCTCTTAAGGTTTATTGCAATGTACTAAATGTGGTGCAGATTGAATGGCAGTTCCAAATGTGCCAACATCGATGTTATTTGGCATTATAGTGGCCACAAGGACATAGGTACAGGTACTTGAACTGCCTACTAGGCCTTCTGAATTAGATTGACTACTGTTAATCACACATTCTTAACTTTAACCATAACACCTGCATAAATGATACCTTTTAACTCTCCTTTTCCTAAAGGGTAGCATGCACTGTCTGAAACTTCCTAACAGCACATCGCCCAGCAGGTATAAGCAGGCAAACTGTAAGCACCCAAGGTACAAGCAGGCAAACCATACCCTTACATGGCCTGTATCTGCAGTTTTCTGTTGTACTAGGAAAAATTATGGCACAGATTTTTCTTCTGCCTCTTGCAACATGGTATTTTGATTATATATATGTAAAAGTAAATGTCCTGAAAAACCCTACTAAAAGCGTCCATCTCAAAGCTATGGCAACCATGCTGCAATAATCAACATTAAGGCATTAGGAGACCGGAACCAAATTTTGCCTATATTATCTCTGTCGAAGTTATTTCATACCTATTTTTTCAAGATTTCTAAGACATAACAGCAAAATTGCCTAGATGCAGGCACATTCTACAGCACAGCCTCACTATCTGCAAAGTCCACCTATTGCATACTAGTTAAATCATTATCCCAATTCAAAATACTGTTCTTGATTTTCCTACTAAATCTTAGTGCTGCACTAGATTATCTATTCAAACAAGAATTTACAGGCTGTTATGCTGATCTAGTAGTATCAGTATATTGCTACAGGATCGTAAAAAAACCCCAAAGTTAAGGCTTTTTTCTCATGACTCAGCAGAAAATATTTGGCTTAAGTTTTCAGAGTCTTTGGACAGCAGTCGGTTAAACTTTCCACCAACTCAGAGCAAAGACATATAAGACTCTTGGGGATACTAATGGCAAAATTATAAAAGACCCAACTCAAACGACACTTTTTCAAATGAGAATGTGCAAAGATACACTTCTAATATTTTTCAAGCATCTTGCAAAGAGAAATAGAGGAATAGGGAAAGGGAAGTCTTAAGAACCTTAATATTGCAATCACAGCATTTAGAAGTTAGCTAAGCATAGTTTTAAGATTTTATATTAATTGCCTGTCTAATAACACAGCTTGGTGCATGAAGACCTAAACCAGTTTAAACTTGCTGTATAAAATGAGGCATAGCATGCCATGCTATCACTGTTTAACGCAACAGCGTACCTTGACTTGCTTTAACAAACAGCTCCATTCTAATTATCAGTTGTAATTTTCTTAGTTCACCAAGTTTCATATCAGCAGGCAGACACTGCACCAGCAAGACACAGCTGATAAGCTCAGTGGTTTTATGTTGCCCTGTCCAAGGCCGCTCTCCTCACAAAAATTCAGAGGGAGCATTCACAGTCCATCTTACTCACAATTGAGGAGGTATTTTAAAGTACGTTCAGGTCAGAACAGTTGCCTCAAGCCTCGAGTGCCACGCAACTTAGTCCTTGCTAAAGTTGTACCGCAACAAGGCCACTGGACCGCATCCTTCAGTCTTCATCACAGATGCAAGTCTATTCAGAAAGTGTCGTCTCCCTTATTATCATTTGCCAGTTATTTGTGAATACTGAAGGCCACACTTAACCTAGACTCTTGTCTCCAGTCGTGAGAAGTACGGAGCACTTCAAAGAAAGGGGCAAGAAAACCCACCACACAGGTTAATCGATTTGCTTATTGAAGAGCAGTTAGTGACTGGTTTTATGCTGTTTCTGAAGATATAGCAACATTACTTTTTTCTGAATTCAGATTAGATTTCAGTTTTCTCTTTTAGAGATATTTCCCCTTTGGCCAATCACACACTGTAATAGAGGTATTTATCTTAATTCACTTTACATTGTTCCCTTTCCATTTATTTATTAACTCATATTCAACAAATGACTTGGAAAAGGAACATCTTTTAGCCATTTAGCTCTTCAGGAACTACTAGCTATGAATACTGATTCCAGCAAATGAACTTGGAATTACATCTTTTACTTGATAGGAATGTATATGTATAGATATGTAACATGACAAGTTTTGCAAATGGATACAATTCCCAACTACAGGGAAAAGTGAATGCATAAACAATCCCAGTATGGAATCCAAGTACAAGTCTGTAAACTACATCAGCAGCTGCATGTGCATATACGCACGTGATCTCTGTATATATTCTGGCTCTCTGTAAACTTCAAATGTCTCATTCAGAAACACTTGCAAAAAGTAAATAAAATGAAGCAAGTTGTCATTAAACCCATGAAACTAAAATAAAATTTTTATTCAGACATGTTTCTTGCCCTCTTCTTCCTTCCAAAATTCAAGTTTAGCTCCTTTTCCTACCCAAAGAAGTTCCCGTTAAATTTATCAGGAGTCTCCCTAACCAGGAAAACAGAGGTTGGGCTAACCACCACCAGTAAGCAAGACACGCTGTATTTACGGTTTGGAGACTCTCTCACTCACTAACCTGCTTTTGTTGGACGCTGGATTTCTTACTATTTTTTGTAGATTCAGGCGTCTTGATCTCCTAAATAGATTGAAAAATTTAAACGTACAATAAGCTTAAATGCTTCCCCAAGTACTTTAACAAAATACACTGAGCAAATCAGCATTCAGTTAAACCCAGCAGAAACAGTGTAGGAAATGAACTGGCATATTTACCCTTCTCCAATAATTCTGTTTTAGTCCAAGCTACCGGAGCACTATCAACATCTGAACAGTTCAGTCATGAATGCTCATCTGCATAATTAAAGGCTTACTGTACTTCCATTACAAATAAACTTAGAGTGAAAGAGAAAATATTTTCCAAAATTAAAATTGGTCTTTTCTTCTGAATGGCTTATAGTTTAAAGCTATGAAATAACATGCTGTTCATTGCCTCATTGCTCACTGTGATCAGCATGGGTCTAGAAGATCACACATGTTCCTTTCCTTTTTTCTCTTCAGAAGTTTTCAGTTAGCAGACATTCAAAGTCTTTAGATGTCACAAGGTTAAACAAAAGCATTATTAATGCTGGAAACGATTGTTAAAAATAACAAGTATCTAAACATATTTTCATCCTTAAAGGCCTACACAAAAGACAGCAGAAGTATTTTAGCTACAAATCGGATTTTTATTTTATTAACACTTCTATTTAAAACCAAAAATTTTCAGTGTGAATGTCACAGATCTCAAATTGGCCTAACATTGCAGCAGATGGAGCAAGCAAGTGAAGTGGTGAAAAAGTGAAAGCCAGAACAGGATACAACAGGGTAGTGCAGAACATTCAAAAATTATGCCATAGATATTCTTTATCATATGCAGCAAAAATCAAAGTCGAGGGGAGAGAACGCAAAACAGATTATTAAAACTGTGATGATAAACTATCTTTAACATTCAGAATATTATTTCAGTAAAACTAATAAAAAATGTACTTTTTAGTCAATTAATTGCATACTGAAGTGTTGAAACATGCAAGATCCTTTTCCTCAATGGGACTTCTCGCAGCACATTTGAAGGAATGATAGAGTAGCAGGCTTATTTCTTTTAAATATAATTCAGATACCAACATACACACATGCTCACCATTTCTTGGCCTTCTTTGGCTGCCTTCATCATCTGTTCTGATATAATTTTCTTCAAGCAGCTACTGAGCAAGAATGCCTAAAGAGGATAAACCAGAGAACATTCTGATTTCTTCTATTAAAAGATGTACTCGACACTTCCATTCTTCCTCCACCAGAAAATTACAGTCCCTAACTACTGAACTATAAACTTCCCTAATTCAGTTAATTTTGCTCTACGCTTAACATCCTTACAGTGCACCAAACTAGCTGCTGTTGCTTAAAGCCCAGCCTCAGCATGACTAACCCTCACAGCGCTGCTCAGAGCATACGAATTTTCATGACTGAGGCGAGTTATTCTCTCTAGTTGGCTGTGGCTCCTACCTTAAAGGCTGCCAGATTACACCACAGGCTAAGTAAGGTTAATCAAATGTGGCACTACCACCATCAAAACCACTTCAACAAGCGAAGCAAGCTGGAGTTCACAGGCACTCAGCACTGCTGATAATCAAAGCCCTGGTGGTTACACGAGATGGCCTATGGACCAGCTCACAGTCGCATCTTGCACAGCTAATATGAACGGAGCGGTACGCATTCATCCCACATTAGGTATCTAGCAGAGGCACCTCAGAGAGGAGTGGAGTTGTTCTTATGCTGTCTGATGAGCGTCAAGCACCGAGAGATGAATCAAAGACAAAATATCCTACAAGATCAGTGATGGAGGGAGGAGCCATCTCTGACTACACTCCAAATCATCCAGTCTCTCTGTTTTCTGCAGTGGGATCTTGGATCAAACCCTTGTTTCTTCCACACAGTAGCACATTTCTGGCCTCTAGCTCTTCCTCACACTTCTGAGGAAAGTGGGACACAGGTTTTCTAATCAACAAGTCACTACATCAAGCACAACCCTAATAGATTTCACAGAATTAATACTGAGGTAATTCTAGGGTTTTTTCTCCAACAGCAAAGAAACTAGAAAGCTTACTGCTTACGGCTCATGTTCTCATAAAGCTTAAGCATGGCAGGAAATTAACACTTACTAAATAGCTGTGTGAACTGCATCATCACCCCAGAATTCATGTGTGAGAAATTAAGCATTTTGATTTTACTTTACAGTCTGGTGCTGGGTGGGTCTGAGAGGCAAGATAAGCAGTTTACTTGAATAACAGGCTCTATACTTTTTATAGAAGCTCTGTACCTAAACTGAGACTGGTGCTGTCTTTGCTACTGCAGAGCCTAGATTATTTGCTAGGCAGCATAACCACAGATGGATGACTTGAATTCCTGGATACCTTTCTCTTTAAAGAGCTGCCTGAAAATAGTGGGAGGAATGGCACCCTATAAAATATTATTTAAAAATTATTTATACGTAAAAAATATTTACGATGTCACATATTCACACCCTCCATTAATTGTGTTAATATGGCTTATATTTATACTTGAATAATAGGATTTTTATTGTGGGAAATGGGAGCCCTTGACCTTAGGTGGGTCTGACCAGTTAATAACTTTGGATACTCACCGAGTCCAGCAAATAAAAAGCACCTCTCCACACTCCATCCCAGGCTTGCTGCTGAGTGCTAGACATTTCTCTTCAATGGAAAAAAAAAAAAAAAATCTCTTCCCCTTATACTAGAAACTCAAATGCTTTTTCCCAGATAACTTTGTCCCTAGGCTAACCTGCTTGAAAGCAGAGCCGCTGCACTCTGGTAGAGATGGACTAACCACTTCTGAAGATCCCCTATGGCTGTAAGATTACATTTTATTCTGATCCTTTCCTAAAAGGACTGAGAACTAACCTGTTTTGTGTACAAAATTATCCACTGCCATGTGCCTGAATCATTGTACTCAAATCTGAGCTCCAGAGTGTCATCTTCACCATCCTTTGTAGCACCCTGGGTGGGGGGGGAGAAAAAAACAAACCAAAAAACAACCCCCAAAACCAACCAACCAAAAAAAATCCCAACAAAAACAAACAAACAAAAAACACAACAAAAAAAGACAACCACCAATGAAAATAAGGAACAGCTAAATACAGCATTAAGGTGTTTAGCCTTAAATCAGAATTAGTCAATCAGGTTAATTTTATACAGTATATAAATAAAACAGCTGAAGATTTGTACCAGAACACTTCTCGTGGGGGAGGGAGCAAGTGGGAGACAGGACGGGGGAGTCTTTACAAGCACAAAGCTGGCTAAAAGCAGTTCTTTTGCTCCCACGCAAAAGTCTCTGCCAACTCCACCTCCAACAGAAAAGGAAAGGGGCAGGTAAAGTATGACATGGAATACCAAGGAAGGGAGAAAACATAGGAGTAAGGCTAGATGGTTTACTGCTGTAAAGGCTGCCAAGGGAATATGTTTCAGGATAGGTTTGGAGGGGAATATGGGCAGATGGGAGGGATTTAAAGCAGACCACCTCCTTCCGCCCAGACCTGCCCTTCCCTGACAGACTTAGTTGTCATGAAGAGAAAGTAAATTCAGATCCAAAGTCAGTGAAGTACTTACAAGAAAAGTAACCTGCCAACTTCTTAACCTGTTGATTTTAAAGCTGACCTCTTTGGTTTGGTTAGTAGGCAGTTTTATGCAGCAGTTAATCTCATTATTGCCGACATAGATGTCAGCTGAGCAGCCTTCTTCTGGATAGTCACAAATGCAAGGATCAAGCCGTACATATCCATAGAACCGCATTTCTCGAATCAGCTCCAGGAACTGCACCAAAAAGAGAGAACTAAAGCAATTTGCTGTAAAGGCAAGTGAAATCTAGTGATTTTGGGGAGGGGGGTAAAAAAAAAAAAAAAAAGAGCTATAAGGCAAATCTTTCAGATTCCTAATACTCTTTCTCCTGGGAGGACACAGATTCACCACAATATGTCAATGCTTGATTCAGAGAATAGCGCTCACAGTCCAGACTTAGAAACTTGATTTCTTTTTTCCCACTGGATATGATGAGCTGGGTCTTTTGGATGCTTGTCAGATATGATGATGGGAAGAGATAAAACTAACCAGTAAGAAATACTGAGAACAGCGGTCTCAGCAGTCTGAATTTCCATTTGATTTCCTAAACTGGATGACAAACCTTTGCACCTGAGTTTAGCAAACAGAGAAGACTAGGATTCACAGTCAAAAACTTCTTGCTAGCCCTTGGGATCCAAGTCATCCTGTTGGGATATTTTAAAATGCTAGCAGAGATGGGAACCTCCTTTTCTATTTGGTGGCTCAGTATCTGACCAGGAGATGGGAGACCTGGGTCTCTAGCTCAAACCACTCCACAAATCCATACTCTATTTTTAAAGTCACAGCCTCTAGTATCATTGCTTCAAAAACCACTCCTTTGATCTGTTTACATTGTTTTAAAAATGCCATTTTACCTTTGCTTTGTTTGCATTTTTTTGTAGAAATTTAAATTCCTGCATCTGCCCTTCTGTTGGTTTAACCCAATTCCTCTCAACTTCCTGGATTGCCTTAAAAGAATTTAAGAATAGCAAAAATGTCAGCGAAAATGTATTTCCTTTCACACACAAACACTCAGAAACACACACACAGAAAGCTTTTTTCTTTTTTTAAACAAGGCCTTTGATTTTGGGACAAGTTCACTCTACACTATTCTTTCCTCCTGAATTAATAGTTTCCAAAGCTAGTACAACTCAACACACCTACAGTTCAGAATTCAAGTGCCATCATATCATGGCAGAGTGCCTACATATAGAGACATACAGATGCGTACATACACTTGAAAATAGAGTCAACAGACACCTAAGTATGTCCTTTTGTGCAATACTTTCCCCATGCACAAAGCATGGGTGAGTTAGAATCTCTAGTACGTGAGTTTGGGGGGAAAAAAACCAAAACAAAACATGATCAACAACAGCTATACCCAGCACTTAGAAAAGCGCAACAAAGCAGTGTTAAAGAGGCACCATTTACAAACATTTTAAGAATTTGTGTAAGAGTAAATTAATGCGGGAAAGTTAACTTTTAGAATTCTAAAGACCTTTCAGTTTTACCTGCATATATAGCAAATCCAGCGAAGCTCTACAATCCATCAGCAGTGTATCAAGAGAAGGATCCATATACCTTTTCCATGCCAAGGGAAAGAAGTAATAAAATATGAAGATATGTTTCCAAATATGGCGTTTTGATTTTTCAGCTAAATATGATGGGAGCACAACCCAGAAAGATCCCATTACTTACCAGATTAAAAAAAACCCAAAAAAACCCAAACAAAACAAAACCCACAAACCCCAAAAAAACAGTTGTGCCCTTGGAATATGTCCTATGCTCATTCTTTATACATTGTAGCAGAATGGAAATAAACTAAAGTCAGGTTATCCAATCTCTCCACTGTAATTTTGGTGGTACAAATGTAACAGTTACGATTTAGAACTAAAACTTTCCTCTTTCTTTTCTCAAATAACGCAGAGTTTGTTTATGTAAAAGTTGGTAAGACTCTTAGAGCATCCACTGCCATGCTGCAGTGCTGACATACAAGACCTAGCTTTAAGCTAGCTAGCTGCAGTACCAACTCCTGTAGAACTGCTGCAGGATCAGATCAGTACAGCAGCAAAGCAAGTTAAATATTCAGTTATTCAAGTGCCATAGTGCAAAAACTAGCTTGAGCCATTTGATTTAAAAGCAGCTTAGGTAAGTCGGCATGACAGTACAAACAGAGCAGCACAGGCTCCATAGCTGGTGCAGCTGTATTACTCCCACTGCACAGGTGATACGCCTCCTGCGGCACAGGAACAACCCAAGGGCTGCCACTCCTACCTCTGTGCTTTGCAGCAGTGCTAGATGGAGACGTATCTACTCAGACAGTCACTTTGTCATGGGTTAGTACCACGCAGTGCTTTCATTAGGCTGCTCAAACAACAGGTCTCTGTGTAGTTTCAAGCCAAGCAACCTTGCTCACTGCCACCAAAAGGCATGGTCTGGTCTTCCTCTTCTGCTCCCAACCACGGTCCTTGCTCTAGCACTCATCTGATGCAGCCACTAAGCATGCAAAAATCATTACCTTTTTTCTTTTTCATTGTAGGGAGAAGTAGACCAGACCACAGCCACAGCAGCGAGCCATTAGACTGGCTCAGCTACACTGCCTAACTGCACCCTCAGGGCACTGTTTGACAAGCGGGACTTTGGCACCAGACTCCCTGTCCCCAGGGTTTATCCTCACCCAAGTCAGCACAACTGTTTGCGGCACAGCAAACAAGACTGGGGGACTGACCCAGGCCAAAAATAGGCCAGCAAAACCAAATAAAAAAAAAATAAAACGACCAGCAACTTGTTTTTAGGCCAGGTTAGCTTGCCAGTCCAGTTGGCCATGTCTGCCCACACAGGTCTACCAGCATAACTGCTGAGGAGCCAGAGGTGTGAGCAAATGAAAGGGGAAGAATGCTCTGCTGCTTAAGGCAGGCCACTTACCAAAATAAATGCTCAGGCTATGGCCTCAGGTATTTCGTGTATTAGTATATAGAAATGAGCACTTTAGATAAAAAGTAATCCATCTCTGCCCAGAGTTGCAGCTTGCAACTCAGAACTCAAAGTTCTCCTCTATATTGCTTACAGGTATATTCCCGTTTGTGGTCACTGCATTACGCAGATATAAAAATTAGGAGGCAAGCAGCCACAAAGCACCTCTCTATAGATTCTGAAACAGAGAAGGGATACATAGGTAGCTGCAGTAAAGGACAATTCAGGAATACTACAGTGATAAATTTAAAACACATGGGGCCACAGAAACCAGTCAATTCCAATATCAAGTTGGCCTCAGAGAAAAACAGTCAAGCTGCTGAGGCTTGAAGACTTTGTAACTAAGTTATTCAAGGGATTTCTTTCTCCGAGTATAGCAGTTATCATGCATCTTGGTAGTTTCTCTTAAGCTTCTTGCTCACCACTTTCTGATCCCAAGCTTACAGTGCAACTCTCGCATGCTCTGAAGACTCACAAAAGGAAGTTCAAAGTCTGCCACTTTTTTCACCACTGGGAAAAGAAAAAAAACCACAGGGACATTTGGTGAGATCTAGTGAAATAGCCCAGCTACTTTCATATATCAGTTAGTGGTGGTTAGCAATGTGCTTTTGGAGAAGAAAAAGAACTTAAATATAAATTCTGAGGTAGAGTAAGGTGACAGGTTAGTTATCTTCCTCACTTCTCCGAGTCTAAACTTAGACAGCAGTATTACTTACAGAATATCTCTACTCCCTTAGACTATGCTCTTATAGAACAGCCTTCTTGCAAAACACAGCTAAGCAGTATAGATGTTTCTGCATTTAAAGGACACATGGATGCAAGCTTCCAGGACTGGTGCTTTTCTTGGACAGAACACCAGACAAGAGCACTGTAACTAATGTACAGCAAGAAAAGCACGTCACTCTTCAGAGGTCACTACTTTCCTGCGCACTTTTAAAAAATTATGTCTAAAGGCCCAAACCTGTAAACATTTATTTCTAAGCCAATACTACAATTCAGCAGAACACTTAAACATGTGCTTTCAAGCATCTGAGCATCTAAACATTTTTTTTGGCAGTGGACTATGGGTTACATTTGGACTTGATATATTTGTGAGGAATATCAAAGATGCATAGAAATGTAATCAATTGAAAAAAACTTTTCTGTTCGCCTGTGTATCATAATTATATCACAGTACAAGGCAAAAATAAATCCATCTGCAACTGCAGTAGAAGAGTATATAAAATGTGTTATATCCAGATACATCTGAGACATAGTAACAGCCAGGGATTCTGTGTACTCAGAGATGCCTTTCACAGCCAGAGAGAAGGGGGCAGGGGAACAATCAATAAAATAGACACGGACAGTAAAGTTCCTACACCACTGAGTAAGCCCGCGTTTACTACTGGACCTTCATCTTGAAAAGGTTCAGAAGAGCATTAACATCTTTATGCCAATGAGAAGACTGAAAAAAGCTGAAGGACTTGTCAAGGCCGCAGAGAGAGGCTGCGATGCCTAGCCTTACCCCAGTCAACAGCAAAGACGGTGTTCACTTCCCTGATGGGGCCCAAGCCTGTCCCAGTCCCAGGCCTGGATCCAGCCTCATCCACACACCCGCCCGCATGGGAAACAGGACATCAGCAGACCAACGAGGACATAACAGCCCCTTCAGATTTTCTGACCATAAAGAGACTCACAACCCTGATTTACAGTTTGCTCAGTACCATCGTGGTTAAACTTAAGTTTCTATCAGTTAAGAAAGGAAACATGTCGTGATATAAAGGAAAGTAAGCCACAGACCTTGTTTATAGATATAACAAAAAAGTTTCCTGTCCCATTGTTAAACTCAGCACGTGATCTGCAAATTAAGAACTGTTTTATGTAGGTATGGCCATCTGATTAAATGCCGACCCAGAAATTCCCATATGGTAAAGTTGCTACATGTTTTGTAAACTGAGAGGGACACGATATTCGTATGTGAAAGTCTCACCCCTGCACCACGCTATCTGTGGCCATACTTTCTTCCCCACTACCACTCTTTC